CCCCAGGCCCACATGCCCCGCTGGCTCGAAGAAGTCAATCTTGCTCAGCCAGCTGAACTGTCTCAGCGTTTCCAGGATCCCAGGGCTGTAATCCAAACTGGTTCCTGTGTGCACAGGGAAGCTGCGTGTTGGCATCCTAGTGAAACTGCCAGGAGGATTCCCCGTTCCCTGGCTCACTGACCTGAAATGCCCCTTGTTACCCCCAACAGATGTGCTGCCCCATGACGCTTGTCTGCTAAGTGCTGAGCAGTTGGGATGAGACTGCTTCCCATGAATGCACGGCTGCAATACCATGACACTGAAACCATGCAAGGAGGCTATGCTCACTTCTAATTTTTTTTTTAACTAATTCTGTTTCCAGGCCAAAACTGTTCCAAATTAAGTTCCTAGTTTCCACTGAGCAGAGCTCAATGGTTCCAGTCTATGTGGTGCTACCACCAGCCTGTCTCGTCTCTCCCAAGCTCATCACTTTGGGGCGTGAAATACTTCCATAATCCATGGCAGGCTCCTGCAAGCAAGCTCCAAGCCTGGAGGCCTTGGGGTTCAGATGCCCCCTCATCTCGCTTGCACTGAGCCAGAAGGAGGAAGCTAAAGGGAGAGCCTCACAGCAATCCTTCATTACCATAAACTATGTAGCCAAAACCCTTGCCTTGGAGGCATTTGTAGACTCTCGCAGGGCTGCCCACCCACGGTGCAAGGGACGGGCCTCTACCCTCAAAGACAACTTACCATCAGAGAATCATAGAAAATGAGGGTTGGAGGGACCTCAGGACATCACATCTAGTCCTACCCCCTGCTCAAAGCAAGATCAGCCCCAGCAGCATCAGCCCATCCAAGGCTTTGTCTAGCTGGGTCTTAAACACCTCCAAGGATGGAGACTTCACAACCTGTCTGGGAAAACTATTCCAGTGCTTCACCATCCTCCTAGTGAGAAAGCTTTTCCTAATATTTAACCTCAACATGTGTTGCTGCAACTGGAGCCCATTGCTCCTTGTTCTGTCATCTGCCACCACTGAGATCAGTGCAGGTCCATCCTCTTTGCAACCACCCCGCAAGGAGTTAAAGGCTGCTATTAAATCCCACCTCAGTCTTTTCCTCTGCAGACTAAACAAGCCCAGTGCACTCAGCTTCTCCACACAAGCCATGTGCCCCAGCCTGTGAACTGTTTTCATTGCCCTTTGCTGGACTTTCTCAAAACTCAGTCTTTTCCTCTGCAGACTAAACAAGCCCAGTGCACTCAGCTTCTCCACACAAGCCATGTGCCCCAGCCTGTGAACTGTTTTCATTGCCCTTTGCTGGACTTTCTCAAAAGTGTCCACCTCCTTTCTGTAGTAGAGGGCCAAAACTGGACACAGGACTCCCGATGTGGGCTCCCCAGTGCTGAATAAAGGGGAAGAATCACTTTCTTCTATCTGCTGGCAATGCTCCTACTAACGCAGCCCAGTATGGCATTAGCCTTTTGGCACCAACAAGACACTGCTGGATCATGTTCATCTCCTTTTCCCCAGGTCCTTTTTTCTAGAGCTGCTGCCCAGGCAGTCGGCCCCCGGCCTGTACCGCCACATGGGATTGCTCCATCCTAAATGCAGGACTTTACACTTGTCCTTGTTGAACCTCATGGGACTCC